CCCTTGCACCTGGGTGGTTCAATTATGGGCAGCCCCATAGTGTGCAGCTACAGAGGAGATGGATGCTTTGCTGAAATGCAGCTTTAGGTGGTTTCTTGCCTATTTCCGTGCCTCAAACAACAAACTAAATTATGTAAAGGTGTTGTGCAAACTGTAAATAGCTATGCTGCCCGTCTGACTTATTAATACAAGAATTAATAAAATTTTCTTTTGGCCTTTTGAGACCAAAAAGGAAAACAGTTGTAGTAATTCCAATCAGGAGACCTATTTCTTTTTAAAGGTTTTCTTAAAGATAAATAAGGTTTCTTTCATTTGTGTCACCCTTGGCTATTTGGAACCTCTGGTATTGGGGGAGAGTCTTCAATTTTGCCCATATTCAATACATCGCCCTATCTGGATTAGCATCAAATTAATTTCACCTGTTTATTTTTCTCTTTCTAAAATGTGGCTAATAGAACATTTTAAGCTATGTATGTGGCTTGCACTCTCTTTCTATTGGACAGTGCTAATCTGGATTATTTAAAGACAGGTCCACATTTTGTATATCTCCGTATCCTTGGTACCAACATGGCATTGACATGTAACAGGGTTGCATAAATATTTATTGAGGAAGAGGATTTAACCTCAGAAGGAGTTTTTTCTACTACTCAGGTGAACTGCTAAGACTGAATTCCCCAAATAATATGTAAATCCACTATTTCACTTCCCCAGGACAGTTATTAGCCTACATGTTTCTCCTCCCTCTTTTCTCTTGGTCACTAGGACTAAAAACAATGAAAGGCTGAACCTAGTCTATTGATTTCCTGCCCCTCCCCCCTCTTGTTTGCCTCTCAAAGCACCCATAGCACCAGTAATTATTGTAAAGGCAGATGACATTTTGGGCTGGATGATTTAAAAAAAAAGGGGGGGGGCGGTAGTTAGCAACAACTTGTCTTAATTATCTAGTCTGGTTTGCAAAGTAGTCTTCTTAGTTTAAAACTGTGAACTCCATCTATACCTTTTTTCTGTCCAGGACATCAATAAGAACTTTAGCTGCAGAGAAAAATACAACAAAAACAAAAACTAAGTACTTATGACTTGTCCAAAGAAATTTAGTAGTTTGTTACTTATCCACTTTGCAAAGCCTTTTCTCCTAAAGTGCAACATGGTTTTTGTGTCCAATCCCAGAATGACACTGAAAGCTAGATTCCCTGTGGTGTGAATTACCTTCGACTCACAGGAAGAGCAGGAGAAAATGGAGTATTTCCTTTTGGGCATGGCAGGAAAAATTCTGTTGACTCTGCAGCACAGCACGTATATGCTGGGATCCATTCTGGTTCCTGCTCAAACTTTTGTTCAAAATAACCAGTCCATATGATCCAATTAAACCAGTCACTTCAGCTGAGAAAATAGTTTGCTTTATTTCTTCACTAAACCAGCAAATTAATTTCTTGAACACGATTGTGCCATTGTGTCAGGGAGTGAGCTTCCAAATAAGACTGGGTAAGGACACAGTCTGGGTCACCCCTTCCCCATGTGTGTTGAGATATCCCAACTGGAAATACTGGGCAAACCTTCTTGTATTGCTTGAGGTCAGATAACTACGTGGGGAATATGAAAGCTAGATTCCCTGGGGTGTGAATTACCTTCCACTCACAGAAGGAGTGCTTCTGTTTGATATTAGAGCCACCAGATAAATTTTTAGTATAAGTTGTCTCATTCAACATGCGGGACATATTTATACTAAAAAATATTCATTGTTTATTAGAAATTAAACATAAACTGGGCATCTCATATTTTTATTTGCTAAGTCTTGCAACCCCAGATAATATCCTAGATTTGCCCCCAAAGAGGCAACCCGTCCTCTTTCTCAAAACAAGTAACATGATGCAAGGGTTTATAAAAGAACATCTGTGGGATATGTGGAGACAATCAGAGACCAGCATGGTGCTTGATAGTTTTTGCTAAACCATCTTGCTGAAAACAAACTGAGATCAGACCCGGATGTCTATTTGCATGCCTCTGATGACAAAATGAATTATATAAAAGTGTTGTGCAAATTGTACCGTGCCGCTTTGCTTTGCTTATCTGTTGCATTGTTGATCCTTTAATGTGCACATCTGGACTTCCTAATAAGATTGTAAACCCACGAGGACAGAAACTGTGTCTTCTTTTTATTGGTATCCCTAAATTCCAACAAAATGTCTGGGCACCAGTACATGCTAGGAAGTGTTATAGATGATTAGGAAGGATTTGAGGATCTTGATATAAAAGAATGTTCGGTCTGAAAGCCAATGGCCGTTCTAGCAATCCCACTGGGAGTTCATGTTGGGATCCAGGAGCTAGGCCAGAGGTCAGTGGAGTTTCCTGGGATGGAAATAGAGCTCCACTGTGTTTTAGGAGGAGTCTATTGGGAGCCCTGCTCTGGTCTGCTCCAGAACAAATGTCTGTCCTTGACACCAATACGAGCAGCAGCCTCCCCTGCCACCTGTCAGTGAACCACTGCCAAAGTGTAATTGTACCGGGATGTTGTGAGAGGAAGCCTGATTTAAACGGGGCCCTGGCGGAGTCAGGGGTCCAGCAGTGCCTTTTCATACCTGTTAATGAAGCCTCATTAGAAACAGCAAGAGCCTGTGCTGGGAACTGGAAGCACCAGTCTGCCGAGGCTCTTCCTGCCAAAAGGTGATTAACTGAATGATTTACAGAGGCTGCTCTCTGAGATTACAGCGGAGGTGGCCCAGTGTGTGCAGGCCTGCACAGCGTGCTGCCTGGTGTAAACTCAGGAGTGTGTGCAAATTTGTTCTCCCCTCCTTCCAGTTGCTGAAACAATTTCCAGGTTCTGAAAAAATGCATGGCCATTCAGACACAGAAGTTCCTCCTCCTGATGGCTGACCTTTTGGGCCCTCACTTTCCAAGCCTCCAGCTGTGTTTAGGTTAGAGATTTAGGTCTTGGCTAGGGGGCAAAAAAATTAATAGTAGCAAGCAAGAAAGAAAAGCAACAGACCTCAGTGTCTGGCCAGCTGCACACTTTGTTTGCCGGCAGAGCCCTTGCACCTGGGTGGTTCAATTATGGGCAGCCCCATAGTGTGCAGCTACAGAGGAGATGGATGCTTTGCTGAAATGCAGCTTTAGGTGGTTTCTTGCCTATTTCCGTGCCTCAAACAACAAACTAAATTATGTAAAGGTGTTGTGCAAACTGTAAATAGCTATGCTGCCCGTCTGACTTATTAATACAAGAATTAATAAAATTTTCTTTTGGCCTTTTGAGACCAAAAAGGAAAACAGTTGTAGTAATTCCAATCAGGAGACCTATTTCTTTTTAAAGGTTTTCTTAAAGATAAATAAGGTTTCTTTCATTTGTGTCACCCTTGGCTATTTGGAACCTCTGGTATTGGGGGAGAGTCTTCAATTTTGCCCATATTCAATACATCGCCCTATCTGGATTAGCAACTCACAAAGCTTAAGAAATTAAGGCTGGGTTCTCTCTCTCTCTCTCTCTCTCTCTCTCTCTCTCTCTGTGTGTGATTTTAGAGGCACTGAGACACAGGTGGTGGTTTCAATTTTAATCAGAAGGCAAGAGAGTCTTGCCTGGGTAGGTGGCAGATGCATGAACTATATTTGGCTGGCCCAGGCCTTGAGAGGGCTGGGGGAGGAGGTGGGAGGACCCTGGAAGAAGATTTTTGAGGCTGTAAGTGGGGTGAGCAACCACAATCTAATTAATCCCTACTTAGATTGAATTGGCTTAGATTGGGTTTAGACTGAAGTTCCCTTTAATCTGATTGAGAGGTGCTCTGCCAATAGCATGTGAAATGTGTCTGCACATAAATATGCATGCAGAGTTCATTAAAGAGGCCGGAGTACTCTGTGATGCCTATAATTATGATACATGCAATAAAGCAGCACACTAATCCCCTCTCCAGTAAGAGTGTTGTTTTTTTGCCTCCAATTGTGGCAATCATGCAAGTCGTGAGCAGAACTTCTGCCTGAGCAGCACTTTTACATCGATAAACCCAAGATCAGTTGACCTTGGATGGCGAAGCAGACGGTGCCACGCTCAAGGACCCTTCCGGAACCCTTCAAGAACGGCTCTGGGGGCAAAGCAAGGCAGGCAAAGTGATATCTGTCGTGACCCCAATGTGAGTTGAACAAGGCGGGCAGGCTGGAAGCTGCACACAAAGCATTTATTTGTGGGGGCCAAGGGAGGTTGCTCAAGCTACAGACTACTCAAATTAAAGCAGAAGGACCCTGTCCACTCCAGAAAGCTTTTCAGCCTAGGCTGAATCAACTAGGGAATCTAGCAGGGGCTGAAGCTCAGGGGAAAGCTCCTCCGGCAATTTCACGGGTCAGTTGGTGAGGAAGGTAGCATTTTCTTGTGAGAAGAGGAGATTTCTCCATCAGCTGAAAGGAAACACATATGAGAAAATCAGTAAAGACATCACAATAGGGTTGTGGGAAAGGCAGCCGTCACACGTAAACAACTGTTTTGGGGCTTACAGCCCTGTTCCATGGTTATTAGCTGTGAGACCTTGGGCAAATGGCTTAAGCCCGCTGAGGCTTTGTTTCCTGTCTGTAAAATGGGGATCATGATGGAGTCCTGGCAGGCTTTGGGGGAGAAACGAAGATACAAAGGGTCAGGATTGCACTGGTACGTAGCAGGCACTCGCAAGTGAATGCAGTACTTATATTGTAGAAGTAAATTCAGCCTAACTCACTACTCTTTGTTTAAAATGACTTTGAGTATTTATTCAGAGGTCCATAGGTATCTGAAAACAATAGCTTTGTTAGGAACATCTGGCTTTTATAATCAACAGAAATCAATTCAATAAAAAGACAGTTGGAGAAGAGCTGGATGACATATTTTCCATTTGAAAGGAGGGAGGGGTTAGGTCGCTTCCAGGCAGCTCTCTCGCCTTCTGAAGAAAGAAAAAGAGGTTGTACTCTTGGAGAGAGCCTGGAGACCTGGGCTCCGGTCCCACCTCTGCTTCCACCTCCCCGCGTGTACTCTCTCTTGAATCCTGATGGGTTGGACGGTATGATTGCTAGGTTATCTCTTAGAGCTGCTATTCTATTCTTTAACATATGTCAGAGATGGGGCCTTGGAGGAAAATAAGAAGATATAGAAATATAATATAAAATTGGCCAGATGCAGTGGCTCATACCTATAATTCTAGCACTTTGGGAGGCCGAGGGGGGAAGATTGCTTGAGGTTAGGAGTTTAAGACCAGCCTGAGCAAAAGTGAGACCCCATCTCTACTAAAAATAGAAAAATTAGCTGGACATGGTGGTGTACACCTGTAGTCCCAGCTACTCAGGAGGCTGAGGCAGGAGAATTGCTTGAGCCCAGGAGTTTGAGGTTGCAGTGATCTATGATGATGCCACTGCACTCTAGCCTGGGCAACAGAGAGAGACCCTGTCTCATGAATCAATGAATGAATGAATGCATGGATTTCTGGAAAGAGTTAGCAAGGAAGCTAAGCCCCAAGGTTGATGTATATGTCTCTGGAATCCTTATTGATTACAAAAAGACTGCATATATATGCACATGTGTGTGTGTGTGTGTCTGTGTGTGTGAGAAAGACAGAGAGACTGAGAGAGAGAGATATTATGGCAGGCTTTGTGGCTGGCCAACCCAACTGTCATTTCCAACCCTTCGCCTGCCTCCACTGTGGAGTCTGGAGAAGCTAAAGAGCTGCTTCTTCAGCATCCCTTGCTGACAGGTATGGTCACATGAGCAGGTTCTAGTCAACAAGACATAAGGGGAAATCCACAGGAAGCCTTCTGAAAACATTTTTCCTTCACTGATGAAAGGAGAGAACCACTCAAGGAAAAGCCTTTTTGTTGCTGCCTCTTTCCTCCCCCATCTTCTGTCCATGGAGGAAGTTGTGATGTCCGGAGCTGTAGCAGGTATTTGGCAACCATGGAGTGACAAAGATGAAGACAACAGGCCAACGTGTCATGGTACGTTGAAGAGATGAAAAGAGCTTAGGTCCTCAATGAAATCATTGTGCAGCCTATTTCTGGGACTCTTAAATAAATATGGTTTACGCCCTTGCTACTCAAAGTGTGGTCTGCAGTTTAGGCATCACCGGGGGAGCTTGTTAGAAATGAAGATTGGCCCCACCCCAGACCTATTGAAGCAGAATCTGCATTTTAAAAAGATATCCAGGGATTTTAAATGCACATTAGTTTCAGGAGCACTTGTTTATAGTCCATTAATTAGGGTTGAATTACATGCAGCTGACGTTCCTAACAGCTACTATGTATGTCGTAGGTTTGTGTGAGTGTATGGGTGTGTATATATGTATGTGGATATATACACACATATTTATATACACATACATATACAATATATATCGTATGTGAATATGTATCTTATTTGTATGTGAATAGCAAAATTCTGGAAGGGCACAGCTAGGCTGTGAGAATGAGTGCGTGTGTGAGGGGGAGTTTGGGGTGATTTCTCCTTTTTATCTTAATTACTTCTATAGTGTTTAGGAAAAAGTGATTCCTTTAAAAGCTATGCATATGCATTCCTTTGATAACCAAAGCGGAGTGGAGGCTTACCAGCTCTCCTCCCTGTCCAGCAGGGCGTGGTAGGACGCGACGTCCTTCTGCAGCTGGCACTTGCGCGCCAGCAGGTGCGAGCGCTGCTGCTGCTGCTGCTCGGCCTCCGCGCGGATCTCGCTGAGCTCCGCCTCCAGCCGGCCGACCACGGCGCCCAGGTTCTGTAGCTCCATGTCGTGCCAGTGCTTGGCATCGTGCAAGGTGTTCTCCAGGCCTCGTTTCTGCAACAGAGCAAACCTGTGCAAGGCCGACGGGCCGGGCCCTTGGAGACGGAGGCGCAGAGCAGCGCGAGGGGGGCATTAGACTGGTGGGTCCACTCCTCCCGGGACACGGACCTCGCCAGTTACGGACACCGACCGGGTCCGTCTTAGGTGGCTCGGTGGGGAAATAAGGAATCCTCAGGAGGTCAGACTCTGGTTTGGTCTGATTCAAGGATCCTTTTGATGGGAGGGAACGTGAGAGAGGAAAGGAAAACAGAGAAGAGGGGGACAGGGAGGGAGAAAAAGAAAAGGAAGAGAAAGAGATGGAGAGATGTTGAAAGAGACACATGATCAGAGGTAGTATGTAGGTGTTTCTCCAAGGAAATCTTGCTTTCGGGGGGTTTTTTCCATGATTTCTTCACCCCCTGTGGGCCCTTTCCCCCTCCATTGCTGAAGCCCCAACCATCATTCAGGGGAAACGCTGTCTCCTGCAGCACTTTCTCAGATCACTATTCACATTCTCCAGACACCATGGCCCCGGATGGGAAGCTTGTCACCTCTCTCCTGGGGTGCCCTCAGCAGCCTCTTAGCACATGCCCTGCCTCTAGTTCCTCCTCTTCCTGCCTTCCCTGCCCAAGCAGCCACAGTGCTCTGCCGAAAGCCCAAATCTGGGCTTGTATATCCTCTGCTTAAACTCCATGGATAGCTCCCCAGGGCCCCGGACATGGCACACACACCTGGTTCAGTATCTTTGCATCTTCACCCCCCATCCTATAGCAGCGTCAGCACTTCCATCCAGTCTTGGAGTTTATTGGGTTCGTCTTATTTCCTACACCTGTAACTTCCTTCTCCATTCCTTCCAGCACCCTCACCTGCCTCACGCCTACTCATCCCTAAGTCTAAACTCAGGGGTCACCTCCCCCAGGAAGCCTTCCTTGAAACCCCTCTGCCCCTACCATGACCAAGCTGGGTTAGCTGCCCCTCTGTATTTCCATGGCTCCCCAAGCATAGGTATGCCCTTGAACTTATAAGTGGACTAAGTATGTCTTTTCCACCAGACATTGAGACTTGGAAGGAACTAAGTCTCTGTAATTCCCACGCCCAAGTCAGGGCCTGGCACAGAGTAGGTGCTTGGTATGTGCAGGTTGCCCCAGATGGCAGTGCTCGTATTACAGTTACACTTATTGCCCTACCTCTCTGTCTCCCCATTAGACAGGAAACCTCTTCTCACCTTCCCATATACTATGCCCCGAAAACTGTAGAGTCGATCAATAAACAACTTTAAAAAACTGTATGTATTGGTATTTAATATTTTCTAATAGTTTTAATTATAGTTGACCTATAATTTAGTATTGACTTTTATATATAACACATAAAAAACAGATAAATATCTTTTTAAATTGGATTGAATCAATGAAACAAGATTCTGTACTCTGCCCTCCAGGAGGAGATTTTTTATACCCTTTGACCATTATGGCTGAAATGGAAGATTTCTGGCCATGACACCATTTTGAATAACAACTGCTGTTAAGCAGGGATAATCATATTATCTTATTCAAATCTTCTTAGTTCCATTGGATATGAGAACGTTGAGTCAGACTCCCATCCTATGTACGTTTATAAGAAGCAAAATATGATCACTAGAAAATAAATCTAGATCAGTATCTAGTCTAGGGTTATTATTTCACTAGTGGGATGTGAAAACCCCTCTGTAGCAGTAAGGATGCAGGATTGGCCACCTTGGCTTTGAGAATCATTTGTTCCTACCTCCTAGGTTTTCTCTTTGTTTATACAGGAAACTGGTTGGTTTGTGAGTTGTTGTTGACACTAGATCTGTAACACCTGTGATTTGGAAAACCTCTTCACGAATCACGGTTGGATCACCTGTCTGCAGTTTTCACTCCATCTTGTAGGTGAGTTCTCTTTGTGTCCCGAGGGTTCTCTTTGCTGACTTAGAACCCATTGCCCAATGGGGCATTCATGGGAACCCCTATCAAAGGTCCTGTGTGTTTTCCATCTCACTCGCCGTCCAAATCCAGCTTTCCCACCTAAGTACCTGATGTTCTGGCAGAAAGAGAGGAGGTTCTCCAAGAGATGGTTGAGCTTGAGTGACTATAATCAGGCTACCACTGCAGGTCTTGTAACCCTGGCCCACTCAGCAACACAGACAGCACCAGCAAGCAAACTGGGATCACAGAAGCACACTTATTCTGCAGGTGTCTGGAAAATTGAAGGGACTTTTTGAATTGCTAAACGCTCTGGAAAGTAAAATAGTGACCTTCTGTGACTTCTGGCCTTGAATTCCATTCCTGATTTGAGTTGACTGAACACAGAGTTCAGTAGGCCTGAAGGACCATTATTTGTGCCCAGCTTCTAATACAAACAGTGCCTTATTGGCAAAAGGGGCCGAAAGTCTTGCCAGCTCAGCTGTTCGAGGCTTATATAAGCTGCAGGGGCCTTGTGTTTGCACAGGTTGCTCTGAGAATAACAGGGATGGCTGGATGAACTTTCTGTATTTGAAAACAGTACGAGAGGTTGGTTACCTATTCTGGCTCAGTCTGTGCTCCTCACCTTGGCTGCAAGGCCCAGTGACCAAAATTGTGATCTACTAGAAGCAGCAGGGGACAGAGGCAGCCTGTCTTGGGTCATGAGCTCAGTCAGAATGCCACTGCTCCGAAGTCTTCTGGGTAGGGGTCTCAATTCTTTTTCCATTTGTTCCATGGGGTTTAAGTGAAGTGACCAGGTAGCTGGTAATGCCAACTCGGGGTTACTATACTAGTGATTACAATAATAATTTTATATGATTATTAATAATAGATGCCATTTGACTGCTCACTCTGTACCAGGCACTGTGCTAAGGGCTTGATGTGCATTATCTAATTAGTCACTGTTATGAGTTTATCAGGTAAATTCTATTATGATTCTATGGTGGATCACATTTCCAAAGGCAGCTGCAATAATGATCTCCATTCCACAAGCTCTTTCTCAATGTAATCTTGGCAATGCCCTATCAAGAAGTAAAGCTTTCTCCTCCTGTTGAGTCTGGGCTGGTCTTGTGACTGCTTTAACCAGGAGAATGTGGTATAAGTGATGTTCAGGGACTTTTGATCCTTGGGTTAAGAGGCCTGGTAGCTTCTGTGCTCACTCAGATGCTACAGCAGAAGTTTGACTACTGTAAGACTGTCATGATGCAGGGAAGTCTGAGCTAGCTAAATGGGGAGGTCACATGGAGAGAGAAAAAGATGCACAGCTGAGGTGCCAGATGTATGAGTTGAAGAAGCCATTCTCAGGTGTTCCAGTCCCAGCAGTTGCCACATGGAACAGAAAATTATCCCTGCTGATCTCTGCATAAATCGCAGAATGAGAGAACAAATGATTCACTGTTTTCTTTTTTTTTTTGAGACAGAGTCTCACTCTTTTTGCCCAGGCTAGAGTGAGTGCCGTGGCGTCATCCTAGCTCACAGCAACCTCACATTCCTGGGCTCAAGTAATCCTTCTGCCTCAGCCTCCAGAGTAGCTGGGACTACAGGCGTGTCTTACCATGCCCGGCTAATTTTTTCTATATATTTTTAGTT